TTGGAGTAGCGTCTCGAGCCTAGGGCCCTTCAACAGTTCATTCTACTGTTATTGGTCTACTTATGTTTTCTCCCTTTTCTCAGGTCAACTTTGATCATTTATGTTTTGGTAGAAAATCATCCATTTTCTTTAGATCAAGTTGGTTTTCATAATGCTCTCTTAAAGCCTGTAACATTGTTCCTGTAGCTCAGTTATTCCTCCCAAGGTGCACTGGAGCTTTCCCCCTATGGCCAGCCACTGCTCGTGGCCAACCCCAGTCTGTTCTTGTTCTCTTCCTAATCAACAAAACCTTGACTGTGTATGGGACAGCGACGTGCGCAGTTGGAGTGGCACCCCCTGGCTTGGCTGTGTGTCCACATTCTGGGGGATTTCTGGGACGTCTTGCTTCTCTGATTAATTTTTCTCTTCTTTCTTTCCTTTCTGAAACATAGAAAGGAGCCCACAGGAGGAGCGGCCTCACCTCCACTGAGAGGCTGAAGGCACACGCTGGGGAGACACACGTGGCAGGAGCCTGGCGTGGCCCCTGTGGCTGCGACCAGCCTCTAGGGAAAGCGAACCCTAGCTCAGGCCAACCCTAGCAGACACAATCTCTTTATTCCGTCCCAGGGATTTGTCAACTTTGTTTTTCTCAAACCATCAGCTTTTTTGCTTTGTGAGTGATAACAATGTTTAATCTTTAGTCATTTACTCCTCCTACTTTCTTTTTTTTTTTTTAATTTTTAATTTTTTATTTTTGAGACAGAGCCTCGCTCTGTCGCCCAGGCTGGGGTGCAGTGGCGTGATCTCGGCTCACTGCAAGCTCCGCCTCCCAGGTTCACGCCATTCTCCTGCCTCTGCCTCCAGAGTAGCTGGGACTACAGGTGCCCGCCACCATATCCGGCTAACTTTTTGTATTCTTAGTAGAGACAGGGTTTCACCACGTTAGCCAGGATGGTCTCGATCGCCTGATGTCATGATCCGCCAGCCTTGGCCTCCCAAAGTGCTGGGATTACAGGCATGAGCCACTGCGCCCGGCCAACTCCTCCTACTGTCTTCTGACGTGGTTAATTTTTGTGTGTATATATGCAGTAAAATCACTTAAGGTTACAGCATTTCCTTTGGTTTTATTCTATAAATTTAATTTAATTTACTTTCTAGTTACATTTTAGGTAATATGCAACTTTTGTTTTTTGAGACAGGGTCTCGCTCATGTCCCAGGCTGAGGGTGCAGTGGCATGATCAGCGCTCACAGCAGCCTCCAACTCGTGACCTCAAACAACCCTCCTGCCTCAGCCTCCCAAAGTGCTGGGATTCCAGATATGGGGCAAGGGGCGTGGAGCTCCATGCCCTCCCTGGGTCTACCACCCTCCAGGAGCATCCACACGCTCAGCTCTCCAGAAGCCCTGAACCCTGTCCTGTGGGGGTTTTGTGGAAGGTTCATTACATAGGCATGTCTGACAACTGTTTATTAATATAAATGAACAAAAAGTGCATTATCTAAACCCAGCAAGGCCTGTATTTTCAGACTTTCTTGGCCTCTTTGTGTAGCATTCTTTCCTCCAAGGTACGAGGCAGAACCTTCTCTGGAATGAGGGTCTTCTGACCCACAGATGAGAGTTCTGCCTTGGACAGGTGAAAGGAGGACAGAAGGTCAGAGAAAGAGATTCTGTTTCCTGAGGTCTAAAGCGCCCCAGCATTGTAACACATGACCGTAATGACGGTTATGGGAGTTAGGAGTCAAGAGCCCTGGACTAAAACCTGTATCTGTATAATCCTCATCTCACAGTGCTGTTCACTAGTTCCACCCAAGCTTGCTGGCAGCTGACCAAGTCTCCTGTCAGTGTGCTCAGATAATCAGGGAGTCCCTCCATTTCATCTTCTTGGAGAATAGGCTTCTGACCTGCTGCCCACCAGCCTGGCTGCTCCCAACTCCTGGGAACTTCCTTCACTGCAAACATTTCCTGCAGCCCCACTGCTGGGTGGGATGCCTGGCTCCTGTCTCCGGGTCTTATCCGTCCTTGCTTTAATCCAGCAGTGTGCCGGCGCCGGCTGGCACGCCGCCTCTTCCCAACCCTGTCCACTAACTTCACTTCATCAGCGTGAAACCGGCCTTGGTGGGCGTAATTACACCAAGGAAATCAGCAAATGCTAAAATCAGGGCTCCTCCCCACCCGAGCGCTGCTTTAATCCCTCATTTTGTTGGCGCTTATCTTCCAGTGGCTTCCTGAGAAAGAGGTTGAATGGGCAAGAAAAACCTGTGAATATATTCCACAGCTGAAAATATCCTTATTGTACTCCTCAACCTGATTTTAGCTGAGCATAACATTCACATTTAGAATATTTTCCTTCAGTGGCCGGGCACGGTGGCTCATGCCTGTAATCCCAGCACTTTAGGAGGCCGAGGCAGGCAGATCGCTTGAGTAGTTCAGGAGTTCAAGACCAGCCTGGTCAACACGATGAAACCCCGTCTCTATTAAAAATACAAAAATTAGCCAGGTGTGGTGGCGCACACCTGTAATCCCAGCTACTCAGGAGGCGGAAGTATGAGAATTGACTGAACCCCAGAGGTGGAGATTGCAGTGAGCCGAGATTGCGCCACTGCACTCCAGCCTAGGCGACAAGAACACGACTTCATCTCAATAAATAAATTAATTAATAAATTAATTAAATAATTGAATATTTTCCTTCAGGAAACAGCACCCTGCAGGGAGGGGAAGTCTTATGACCTTCAAAATTTGAGAGCTGCTCTTAACCTCCCAATGGCCTCTGTCTGCTGAATCAAGAAACCTGCAAAACTGCTGAGTAAACAAATATGTAAGAACTGGATACCATTTCAGTCACACATGCTTGCTGAAGGCCGCTGATACGGTAATGCCTCCTGTACACATAGCAGACTCTGAAGACTGCTAAGAGAGTTTGGGTCTCCGCTGGTACAGGACCTCGGCAGCCTGCAAGGAGATGACTCCCGTGGAAGTCCCCACACAAGTGCACCCAGTGTGAACTGTGGAAGCATCAGCCCATGCTCAGGTCCACGGGTAAGATGGCCAGGAGCCCCTGCCCTTGAGGAAACTTGGGCCACAGAGCTGCTGGTGAAGGGGGCAGGTGAAGGTCTCACGTAGCCTGTGTGATTCAGGCAGAAGTGAGAAGGACAGGGGGGAACTCACCAGGCGGACGACAAGCTGAAGGACTCCCAGGGAGCAGACGCTTCAAGGCCCCAAAAGGCGAGGAGAAAGAAAGAAAAAAAAAGGCCGGGTGTGGTGGCTCATCCCCGTAATCCCAGCACCTTTGGGAGGTCAAGGCAGACGAATTGCTGGGCAACGTGGCGAAATCCTGTCTCTACAAAATATACAAAACTTAGCCAGGTGTGGTGGTGCAAGCCTGTAGTCCCAGCTACTCAGGAGGCTGAGGTGGGAGGATCACATGAGCCCGGGAGGTGGAGGCTGCAGTGAGCTGTGATCGTGCCACTGCACTCCAGCCTGGGCAACAGAGTGAGACCCTGTCTCAAAAGGCCAGGAGTGGAGGACAGGCCTTGGCCAGGAGGTTTGGCATGACTGGCAGGGGCCTCATAAGAAGACTGTTGGTGGGAGGAGCCTGCTGCAGATAGATGGCTGCGGCAGACCACGGAGCTTAGCCTTCAGGATTGAGATCTGGGGATGACAGGCTCATGTGTGCTTGTTGCGGGGCGGGGAGCACAGGCACGAGAATGAGCCCAGGACTCAGCTCCCAGGCTCGGCTGGGCCTGTGGTGGGGCAGTCAACATGGATAAGGCCTGGGCTTCAGAGGAACTTGATGAACAGGAGCCGTGGTTACCATCTGTGCCCTGGCCTTCCTTCCCTTCAAAGGGTGTGTTCTGAGCTAAGGAGACCCACATGAAATCTGAGCCGGCTCCGAAGTCACCAGACACCTAGGGAAGTATGGAAGGCTGGGAAGGACACACACAGCCGGATGAGCCCTGCAGGGAGCAGTGCGGGCTCAAGGCTTCCAGTCCTGGGGTTGCAGGCCAGTTCTCCAAGCAGGTGGTCCTGGAGGCAAGCTGGTTCTGAAAGTAGGTTCTGAAAACAGATCAGTCCAGGAAGCAAGCTCTGGAAGTAAAGAGATTCAGAAAGCAGGTTCGTTTTGGAAACAAGTTCTACAAACAGGTAGTTCTGAAAGCACGTGGGTTCCAGAGATAGGTGCTAGAAGGAGGTGGGTTCTGTACCAAGGTTCTGGAAGCAGGCGGGTTCTGGACGGAAGTTCTGGAAGGAGGCGGATTCTGGACGGAGGTTCTGGAAGGAGGCGGGTTCTGGACGGAGGTTCTGGAAGGAGGCGGGTTCTGGACTGAGGTTCTGGAAGGCGGCGGATTCTGGAAGGCGGTTCTGGAAGGCGGCGGGTTCTGGACGGAGGTTCTGGAAGGAGGCGGATTCTGGAAGGAGGCGGGTTCTGGAGGCCGATTTTGGAAGCAGGACGCCACCGACAGACGCACCTCGGACTGGGGCCAGGCCTAGAGCCTCCGCTCCGCGGGCAGAGAGAAGAAAGCAGGCATTGTCGGAGAACTCACACAAGCACTTGTCCCTAACAAAACCGTTTTTAAAAACCCCATTGTGAACATTTTTGGAACAAGCCTCTTAGAGGGTCCCGTTGCCGGGGTGACGGGACGAAACGGCCCGGCCTGGCAGACTCCTGGAGTCCCCGCAAAGGGAGCCCAGGAGCCGGGCGCGCCGAGGCCAGGTCCGCCCTGACTCTCAGCTTGGGACGTTCCCTAGAGTTTTTCCTCCGTTTCCCGAACTTCTCCCGCAAGCTCTGCGGCCGCTGCGGCGCATGCGCAGTACAACCTGCCAGCCGGCCGCGGGCGTTCAGGCCTCGGTTGCCAGGGGTTACCGTCCCTCCGGCGGGCGGGGCTGGCCGTCCAGAGCCCGCCTTCCTAGAGCTCTGGTTGGCTGACATAGCTGTCCGTCGAAGCGGCATTGCCGCCTATTGGGCAACGGCCTGCTTGGCACTCCGGACCCGTGCCACGCCCAGCCGCGCAGCGGGCCACCCCCACCCAGGAGGGACAGTCGGGGACCGGCGCGGGCACTCAGTAGCCCGCGGCCCGGGTGGTGCGGGAGGCCCTGGTCCGGCTGCGGAGCGCTGCGCGACAGGCTGACCCCGAAGGACCCCCAGCGCGGCGGGCGCGGCGATGATCCTGGAGGAGAGGCCGGACGGCGCGGGCACCGGCGAAGAGAGTCCGCGGCTGCAGGTGCGCAGCACTGGCGCGGTGGCGGGAGGAGGGGCCCGGAATCCCGGGCCTTTCCTGCCCCCACTCGAAGCGCGTTCCGGGCACCCCCCTCCCACGTCTCACTCGGCCCGGACGCAGGCAGGGAAACTGAGGCCAGAGCCTGCGTCCCTCCTCCTCTGAACTCGGTGGAGGTGCTTCCAGGCCACTCATGTGAGCCAGGAAATGCGGGGAGCCAAAGTCTGGATCATCCTCACCGCTGAAGCGGGTCGGGGGACGCCCTCCTCGTGGCCCCCTTCTGGGCGGGTGTGGGGCTGGGCTCTGTGAGCGCCCTCCCCACACCCGCCGTCGTGTTCCTTTGCGGCACCTGTATAGCCTCCTTCCCTAGCTCGGTCCTCCCTCTGCACCGCTCAGGAACTGCGTGCCCATTGGGTGCACTGGTAGCAGCAGGCAGCGAAGCCTCCTGGGTAGGGGAAATCAAGAGAGGTCTTCCCGGCTGTCCTCTCCTCACTTCCCAAACCTCCTCCCCTTCTGAAGTCCCTAACCCGGGGCGCTGACTGGGCAAGTGGGAGGGATGGGCAGGGCTATGGAGACCTGCTGAGTCTGTGCCCGGGAAGGAGGGGACGTCTGTGGGCCTTGCTCTGCAGTCCAGAGCCTGCGTGTTCCCTGCGGACCAGCTCGAGGCTGTCCCAGTGCTCCTGCCAGACCCTGGGCGCCCATGCCCGTCGCGGGCTTTCAGCGGGGGGCTGCTCCTGCTCCTCACCCCAGGTGAGCCTTTGGTAGCGCCTGGCCCTCCTCCCCTCTGGGACATCGGACTGCGTTGTCCCTGGTTCTACTCAGCTTCCGTGTCTGGACTCAGGTCTCTTAGAGGAGGAGGCGGTGCTATCAGCCAAGGCTTGGCTTCAGGTCACTGGGCTGCCGATGCTGACCATAGCCCTCAAGGACTCCCTTCCTGCCCACCCCTAGGCGTGCAAGAGGCTGCAGCACCTCCTGGGCACTGGAGGGAGAGGCAGCCTTTGCCCGACCCCTGTGAACTCGCTCTGGCAGGGCGGCCATGCCTGCAGGTGGCCTGGGACAGCAAAGTTGTTTTGGGTGGAATGTTTGGGAGGCTGTACAAACAAGATGTCCCAGAGGGCTCTGGAGGTGACGCTTTTCAGGCTGGGGGCTGTGCCCGGGCTCTCTGTCCTGGCCCTCCCTGGGCTGTCACCTTGGAAAGTCGGGGAGAAGCTGTTTCCAGGCTGCCGCGTCTCTTGCAGTGTCCAGAAATGACCCCGCAGTCAGGGTACTGGGGAGGGGTCTGTGGGAGGTGGCTGGGGAGCGGAGGCAGGCCCTGTGTCACACACACACCACTCAGGCCGTCCTGCCATCTGGAAGGTCTTCCCTGATGCCTGCGGCCAGGCTGGAGTGAGGCCTGTTCCACCCCCATCAGGCTGGCCCCCAAACTGGCCCTAACGCTCAGAGTTCAGTGGGTCAGGGGTCGGTCATTCCTCCGCTTAGAGACCAGGCCTGGGCCTGAGGCCCTGTGGACGGGTCTGGGTGACTGGTATTTGCCCCGGGTATGATGAGCGTGTGCTTTCCGCGAGCGCTTACCTGGTGCCGGGGCCAGAGCCGCAGCTGGAGTCCTGCCATTGGTGCCTCCCAAGCCCTGGGCCTCAGCCCGTCTGAGGAACAGGGTGAGTAAGTGGCCAAGGCTGCCAAGCTGGTAAGGGGAGAAGCCTGGCACGGCCCAGGGTGGCCAACCCAGCTGCCGTCCCTCCCACAGGGGCTGCAGGGGCTCCCGGGGGAGGACCACAGACAATACAGCCTGGCTGTATGCAGGTCCTGTGGTTTCCTCGGGAGGTCAAGGGAGGCCAGTGAGAGAAGGGGGAGCGGGCTGAGGAGGGAGAGCGTTGGAGCAGCAGGTGGGCAGGGTGACTGTGCCCCCCTCGCCTGGTCTCCAGCATGCTGAGTGGGTCAGCCTGAGGTTCCCTGGCCTGGCTGGACAGGAGCACCCTCTGGGTGCTGGTTACAAACGGATTCCTAGGCCCCTGCCCAGGTAGATTGGGCTCCAGGAAGAGGGGTGCTCAGGAACCACCAGTGCCTGGGTGCCCCAGGGAGCATCAGAGAGAGTGGGGGGCCCTGGCGTGAGTGGCCAGTCTGTGATCCCTCTGGCGTGCATGCTGCTTGTAGCCCCGCGTCCCAGGAGACCCCTGTGCGCCAATGCCCATTGAATTCTGCTCCCTCATCAGTGGGGGGCAGAGATGGTGGGTCGGGTAGGTGCTAATATGTCCGCCCTCCTGGGGCTTCCAGTTCTTGCATTCAGGTGAGACTTCAGTGGGGGCAGAGGAGAGGGATCCCTGAGATGGGTGGGTGTCAGCAGACAGGGTGCCCAGGGCCAGGGCTCTGAGGGGAAGAAGCTGGTTTGCTCCAGGTGGGTGGCCTCTGCCTGGGGACTGCCTGGCCCAGGGCCAGGGGATCCTGGGGGAGGGTGGAGGTCTGACCCTGCTCTGATGTTTTGCTGTTCCCAGATCTGGGCTGGGATAACTGTCTCCACATTATGCCAGTCCCCAGGTCAGCCCCATTCTGGCCCCGGCCACACTGTTTCCTCACAGGTAGAGGAGCCCCACTGTCAGGGTTGGGCTGTTTCTCTGTTCTCCGTCCCTCTCCATCGATGCACGGCCAGGCCCTTCATGTGTGGCTGCCTCTCGGGACCCCCGCAGAACATAGCCTCTCTGTTCTTTCCTAATGCAAGGTAGAAATGGTCACAGTAGGGTGTCAGGGCACCGTGGGGGTGGTGGTGGTGGGGCTCCAGGTCACCTTTGTCTCCAGAGGATGGGGAGGTTGTAGCAGGAGCAGGGGGCTGAACATCTGTGTCCACGCCCCTTCTGCTGGGCACAACCTTCAGCCCAGTGTGGAAAGTGGGGCATGGGCCTCCCCCTCCAAGGTCTACCCAGCCTCAAAGGTCCAGCTCAGGTCTGCTCATCCCCATGTAGGCCAGGAAGTCACTTGGCCAGCAGAGAGCACTGCGGGTGGGGAGGCCGAGGAATGGCCCAGGGCCACTGCAGGTGCCTGTGGGGCTCTGAGGGGCCAGGCTCCCCACAGCTCTCCTGCGGCCAGGAGGGGAGCAGGGACCTGGCTGGGTGTCTGATGCCCGTTGCACAGCCAGAGCCCTTAAAGCCACTGGAGCCTTGCAGTGGGGCCTTTGCAGGGAGGGGGTGTAGTGCAGTGGGTGGCACGGGGGTCTCCTAGGTACTGGGCAGAGGCCCTCAAGGTGGTAGTGCGGGTGGGAAAGATAGGGATGGGAGGCGGGGGTGGGCAGGCCTCAAGTTCAGGGAGCTGCTCAGATCTGAGGCGCCCGTGCCTCTCCCACCTGTGGGCCTCTCCAGCCTGAGCCCCTGAAGCAGCTCTGGAGGGAATTTCTTTTCTGGAGGAGTCGGGAGTGGGAAACGGGAGCAGGATGAGGGTTCCCAAGTGCACATTGGCCCGTCCCCTGCTGGGTGGTGTCCACGGGGACAGAGCTGGGCTGGGGGGAGGCCAGCGTCCTGGGCCAGCACACCCTCCTCCCAGCCACCATGGCCTCTCTGCTTTGGCCCTTTAGCGCCTGTGTCCCTCCCCCCATCCCCTAAGCACCGGCTCATCTTCAGTTCAGGGAGCTCCATCAGGCTCCCTCACCCCCAGCACTCAGCAGGAGGCTGCTGGTGTGGGTGTCCAGGGGATGGCACAGGTGTCTGGTGGACGGCACGGGTGTCCAGGGGACGGCGTGGGAGTTTGGGGGATGGTGTGGGTTCCAGGGGATGGTGCGGATGTTTGGGGGATGGTGTGGGTTCCAGGGGACGGCACAGGGGTTTTGGGGGATGGTATGGGTTCTGGGGGACAGTGCAGGGGTTTGGGGGATGGGGTGGGTTCCAGGGGACGGTGCCTTATCCTCCAGTCTCTGTCTCTGCCTTCCTATGGCCACTTCCATGTGGCTGTGTTCACATTTCCCATCTCTTATAAGAACCCTTGTCACTGCGATTAAGGACCCCCCCCACCTCCAAGGTGGCCTCATCTTAACTCATTATATCTGCAAAGACCCTATTTCTAGACAAATTGCACTCACATGTACTGGGAGTTAGGACTTGAACCTGTCTTTTGTGGGGACACAATTCACCCATAATAGATGGTCACCCGCTCAGCTGGCTGCTGTGAGCTTGGGGGGCAGGACCTCTGTCTAGGAAATCAAATCATTCCTGTATAATGGGAGTAAACTAATTACAATGCAGACAAAGGTCTCATTCACATTAGCAAAAATAACTCCCTGTAGATATCTAGGGGAAACCCAGGAAAACACATGTGAGCTCTTTACGGGGAAGACGGAAAGGCCTGAGAGACGTGTGTGCGTGGAGAGGGTGCCAGGTCCACAGAGGGGAAGACCCAGTGCCATGTGCACGTTGGCCCCATGAATCCGCAGCTTCATGCAGTGTCGGGTCAGTTTCATGGTGGCAGGATTCATCTTCAGACACAGCAAGGTCCTGGGACAGAAGAGGTCCTGTCTCCCGACAAGGGCGGGAAGCAGTCCCAGGAGCCACCAGAGGCCTTGTCTTGCTGCTGACTGGCAGAAATGGCCAGATGGCCGCACCTGACACAGACCAGGCTCACCCAAGGGCTGGGTGGGAGTCAGTGTCCCTGAGCAGCGAGCCCTGAGCAGCACTGTGGGTCTCAAAGCATGGAAGGAGTGGGTGCTGGAGAGGCAAGCCAGCCGGCCCACGCCTGGGAGCCCACCCAGAGGACAGCCACAGGTAGCTGCAAAGAATCTTGTCGGGGTGGAGACCCAGGCATTCCCACGCAGCCATGGGGAAGAGCTGGGGGGAGGGGCGTGGTGAGAGGGAGGGACACATGAGGATCACACGGGCAGGACCCCAACACCACAAGGATGGGGTGGGCTGAGACATGAAACTGGATCACCCTGGAGTGAAATTTAAGCCCCAGCAGATTCGCGCCACTTAAGAAGACACAGGAGCCATGAAAGTCCAGAAGGGGCCCTGCCGGGCATGCCCTGCTCTTTCACCATGGCTGGTGCTGGGCAGGGCCGTGGGGGTGCAATCTGTGGGTACAAGGCTCAGAGTCTCTTCTCTGTGGATGGGGAGTGCACAGGTGTGCGTTCACTTCGAGAACCATTCCCAAAGTCAGACTGCAGCCTCTGCACCCACCATCGGGGGCCAGTGGCTGCCCCCAGAGCCTCAGGGATGCTGTCCTTTGAGCCCACACCTAAACCCACACGGGAATGGTTGGGAGGCGTGGGTGAATTGGATGGAAAAAAATTGGGAGGGGCAAGGGGGGATCCAGAATGAAATCCGGAAGTGCAGAAGGAGACCCAGAAGAATCCTACTGTGAGGGGCAGCAGGCTGCCCCCTGCAGGGCTCCTGGAGCCCTACTTGTCCAGGCTGCCTGGTGAGGCCCTGGCTCCTGGTGTCCTTGGCAGGTGCCAGCCTCCCCTCCCGACCCCCATCACAAGTCAGCAGCATCCCCCCCACCACGTCCTTCTGCACTGACTGCCTCCTGGTCCTGCTCTGGCTGGGCCCATATTCACACTGGCTCTGTCCAGCCCCTCCCTGTGAGGTCAGCTCCAGCCCCAGCCCATGGTGGCCACCCCATTACCCTTGGGCAGGCTGCACTCCTCTCAGTGGCTGGCGAGGCACAGCCTGGTGCGGGCTCCACAGGGTCAGGCCGTGATCACCTGTGGCCTCCCTGCAGGGCTGTGACTCCCTGATGCAGATGCAGTGCGGCCAGCTGCAGAGCCGCAGGGCCCGGATTCACCAGCAGATTGACAAGGAGCTGCAGATGCGTACGGGCGCTGAGAACCTCTACAGGTGAGTGCCTGAGGCCACCCGGCCCCAGGAGCAGGGCTGACCTGGGTGAGGGGGGCAGAACAGCCACCCAGGCAGGTGTCTGCCCCATGGCCGGGTCAGGGAGACAGGTGCATGAGCAGATGGGTCCTGGGGGGCACACAGTACACGTGATGCCCAGCCATGACCCTCACAGACCTGCCTTCACTGACTCTGTGCTGGGCCGGAGGTGCCAGGAAACCAGTGTCCCTGCCGGGTGTGCAGCTTGGAAAGCCCCAGCAGTGCACGTGGGGGCTTCTCAGAAGAGCCATGGTTGAGGCTGAGCTGTGGCAGGTGACGGCGCATCCCAAGGTTGGGGACCTGGGAGAGGGGTGGAAGACCCGAGCTGCCTGTTCCTGAGAGCACGCTGCGTGTGAGCCACACGTGTGTGTGTGAGTGCCCTTCAGTACCCTTAGCACCTGCTGCCTCCCTGCCCCCATCCTGGCCTTCCTTGGGGACCCCTGGTCCCTTTGCCGGGCCCTGATGCAGGCACAGAGAGGGGTGTGGCTCTCACCCACCATCCGAGGAAGTGGTGTTTGAATGCTGTCGAGGGCTGTATGAGCCCCAAAGAAAGCCATGGTGCTGAGGGAGGTGCCCGCAGGCCAGAGTCAGAACATGCAGGTGCTGGGGTCGGGGTGATGAACTGTAGTGGGTATCACCTGTGAGCCCCCGGATGCCACTGCTGCACCTGCCCGACCCATGGGGGACAGACCCCGTCAGCGACATCTTCTGCAGGGTGGGCTCAGAGCTCCGACAGATCAGCTGGCAGGAGGGCGGCAGTGGGCATGGGGCCTTTGGCTCTACCTTGGGGCTGGGCTTTCAACTGCCACGGCCTCCCTCAGAGCCACCAGCAACAACCGGGTGAGAGAGACGGTCGCCCTGGAGCTGAGCTACGTCAACTCCAACCTGCAGCTGCTGAAGGAGGAGCTGGAGGAGCTCAGCGGTGGCGTGGACCCTGGCCAGCATGGGAGGTGCGGATGGGGGCCGGGACAGCGCGCACGCGTGCGTGTGTGTGCACGTGCTTCTGGAGCGGTTTAGGATGGTGGGGGGGTGCGCAGGTGCAAGGACACCCCCCAAGACACAGGCGCACGTGTGCACCCATGAGGGAGGGAGGCACCCTGTGCCACAGAGCCCTAGGAGTGGACCCCCGGCTGCCGTGTGCAGCAGGGTTTGGCCTTACAGTCTGAAGTCGATGCTTCTGGTTGTAGTGAAGCTGTTACTGTCCCCATGATCCCCCTGGGCCTGAAGGAGACCAAGGAGCTGGACTGGTCTACACCACTGAAGGTAGGCACTGGCCTACGAGCTCTGAGGGACATGGCCCTGCCCTGGGACCAAGGGGGTCTTGGAGGCTTCCTGGTCCAGCTGTCTCATTGAACAGATAGGGAAACTGAGGCCCACAGGGAGGGAGGGCTGAAAGGGACACCAGGGACCTGGCAGAAGTGGCCACAGAGACCCAGCCTCTGCTGCGTTCAGGGCCCGCACTGGTGCCTGCACCGCAGGCTGGGGCTGATCCCATAGAGTGGGTATGAACACATGGCCCACCCTCGGACAGGCAATGCCCTAAGAGGATGGGGCCTGGAAGCCCCAGCCAGGGCACAGGGTCCAGATTCGCCCACAGAGGGCACCACCGGCTTGGGACCACACACCCAGCACTGACTCATGAGGGTCCTGGAGAGGGCTCAGACCCCAGAACAGACTGGCACTGCCCGGCAGGGCCCTGCAGGAGCCACTGACTGTGTTCAGTGTTGGAGTCACTGAGTGGCAGATGGCACCTGCCTCCCGGCCATGGGGATGAATAAGGAAACGCACATAAAAGTAGCGCTGAGTCTCCAGGCGCCACCTCTGTGATGGGAAACCCCAGGGCCAGAGGGGCTCCAAGCTGCATCAACCCACCAGGTCCCTCCGTACAGTTGGCCCCAGCCCTTCTCTGGGGCTTCTCCTGAGGGGCCCAGGGCCCCCACCCTGCATGGCAGCCAGACTGCTGTGCGACACAGCCCTCCTCCACCATGAGTCTTTCCCCTGAGGGTTGGGAGACCTCAGGGAAGGAGGCCAGGCACAGGGGTACTGTGGATGCCAACACCTGCCCCCCATCAGGAGCTGATCTCGGTGCACTTTGGAGAGGACGGCGCTTCCTACGAGGCAGAAATCAGAGAGCTGGAGGCCCTGCGGCAGGTGTGTGGTTCCCCCGCC